CTGTGTGCGCAGGTTACATTTGGTAGCTGCCAGATTGTCCAAAGTAAGAATGAGATAATAAGATGTCACAAGGCTGCGAATGCGGCCTCGCGCTTCCGAGAGCTGGGTTTTATAGTGTCTGGGTCTTGGCCATTGATGGGATTACATGGCGCCAGGAGGCCAGTTGGTGGGTGTGACCCCCGCCTACTGGAATTTGGAGGATCTGGGTGGAGGATGCTCAGTCCCGATCCGAGCAGGCTTGGGGATCTCAGCCCTGGGACCTGCAAGCCTTTGTTCCTCTGCCGGTACCTTCATGCGTGTGGAGAGTGGTCTCAGCATGGTGGTGGCTGGTTCTGGAGGTCTTCGGCTGCATAATATAAATTTTAAAAGAATTGAATAAGTCATTAGAATACTTAATAATTAAGAGTGACCAATAACTTGAGTAATTGATTCTTAATGCTTCCTGTGGCTTTAAAACTTATTTTTTTCTTTATTTTTTGTGATACTGGGAATCAAATCCAGGACCTTAGACAACTGAGGCATACACTCTATTACTAAACCACACAGCCCTCGTCACAAATTCTGTTTGTGGCCATTGATACATTAATATTGTCCATTTGACTCTAGTTCTCAAATCCCTTCTCTTTTCCTCATTGTTGTTGATACTGTTTCAATGACTCAGGATCACACACAGGCCTGAAAAACAAAGGAATAGAGGGGATCATTACAAAACTCAGAGTACCAAGTAGTGGGGTAAGGGGTGGGGGCAACCGAAAGGCAACTGTGTGACAGGAGGAGGTGGGAGTGGGTGATGGACACTTGGTTGGGGGATACATATTGTAATTTTGTACAAATGGGTGCTGCTCAGGGATTACTCCTGGGTCTGCACTCAGAAATTACTCCTGGCGGGGTTTGGGGGATTACATGGGATGCAGGGGATTGAACCCCAGGTTGGCCACATGAAGATAAGCACCTTATCTGCTGTACTATCTCTAGCCCCAAACTTAGGAATTTTTGTATGGCAAAAGAAACTCAAGCTAAAATAAAGAAATAGCCTACAGGAAGAGAGAAAACATTTATATACAATCATCATTAGATTAGGGACTGCTATCTAAGCTATATAATATACTCACAAAGAACAACAACAAAACCAATAATGACATTAAAAAAATGAGACTAAGGATGAGCAGACTCTTTCCCTGCTCTTGTTTTTTTTTTAAATCTTAACAATGCAGTTTAGAGATCCTTCCATATTAGTTGGTGAAGAGAAGCATTCCCATCAAGTCTGTGAATGAATTCTCAAGGAGCTATCAGTCTTTTGTAAAGAGCATGTGCTAGTTTTCGTTCTTTAATTTTTATTTTATTTTTTCAGATTTTAAAACCTTATTTGCATATTAAAATTATGCATTTCAATACAACACAATTTAATCTGATGACTTTTTTTCCCTCTGAATGGTTTAATTATATTGTCACATTGACAGTGACAATATAATTAAACCATTCAGAGGAAAAAAAAGTCATCAGATTAAATTATGTTGTACAGCCTGCAGGACACACTTTGAATCAATTGGGTGTTAAATTAATCTCATGTCCCACCCATCTTATTTTTTCTCCCAACGTACATGCAAGTTCTTTTCCTTCCAGACAGACGAGAGGTAAGGCATCTGCCTCCTTTTCAGTAGTTCTCAAATCCTAAATGTGAAAAGGGGCAGCTTGTCATTTAACTTTAAACTTTTTTGAACCTCGTGATCTTAACAAAGTTAAAAAGCTAAAAGAAGTAAAATAAGAAGGCAGTGCTTGTGCAGCACACAATCCATATTGGTGGTGTTTGAGCCTTATGATTTGCTAGCTTGTTTCTCCTGTTCAGTTGTTTCTTTAGAAGGCAGAGGGGTTTTCTTCTCTTGTTTCTTCTTCTTCAACTTTGACTCTTTAATTTCTTAATCTCAGCCAGACTGTGCTTGTCAGACCTGGTTGCAGAAGCTGAGGAGGCACATGGATGAGTGAAGAGAGATCCGAGCAGCAACCACCAGTGAATGCCCCTTAATTTTTATTAAAATACTTCATGTTCTCTAGGTGTTGGTGATTCATTGGTGAAGATAACGTATATATTTACTTCTCTCATGGGTCTGCATTCTGTGACATTCATTAAAAGACTTCTGAAGTAAATGTAGAATCATAATTACTGTAAGTGCTGAGAAAAGTTAAAAGAAGAAATTAGTATAGTTCAGGAAGGTGAAGGATAACTTTTCAAGAGAATTAGAAAAGTGTTAGATCACTTACACCTAATAAAAAATAATTACTTTAACATAATGGTATAAAAAGCTGAAATTTGTCCTATAATATCTAGTCTTTCCTTTCTTCTACATTATTTATTTTATATTATGTTCTAGAAGCATTCCTCCTTTGGTGCCTTTATCCTCATGCCCATTGAACACTTCAAAATTTTTTTTTATTCAATCACTGTGAGATAGTTACAAAACTTTCATGATTGAGTTTCAGTCATGCAATGATTGAAGACCCATCCTTCCACCAGTGTACATTTTCCACAATAAACACTTTTTATCTGAAATTTCATGATAAAAATTTCATTATCAAGACCTTTGTGATATCTGACTTGATAATTATCCTTAAAATTGTCTCTTACCTTGATTTTTCAGGATATTGTACTCATCTGTTTTTATTTCTTTTCTTTATCATATTTACTGACTCCTTCCTTCCTTCCTTCCTTCCTTCCTTCCTTCCTTCCTTCCTTCCTTCCTTCCTTCTTTTTTCTTCTTGGTTTTGTGGCCACACCTGGTGGTGTGTGGCCACCTGGCTCTGTTCTCATTGATCTTTTCTGGTGGGGATTAGACGTGGGGTGCTGGAGATTGAAATTGGGTCAGCTATGTCAAGGCAAGTGTCCTAAACACTGTACTATCTTGCCAGTCCAGATTTTTCTTTCCTAACTTTTGATCTCTGGAGTTTCTTAAAGTTTTGTCCTGACCTATTTTTTTTTCTCTTTTATTCCCTTCAAACATAGATTTATACCTGATCTCTCCCCTGAGTTTTTCATCATTATGCACAGTTGCCTTCTATATCTGGTTTTTTTTTCTTTTTTTGGGTCACACCCGGCGATGCACAGGGGTTACTTCTGGCTCTTCACTCAGGAATCAGTCCTGGCAGTGCTCAGGGGACCATATGGGATGCTGGGAATTGAACCCAGGTCGGCTGCGTGCAAGGCAAGCGCCCTACCCACTGTGCTATTGCTCCAGCCCCCTCTGTATCTGTTTTTAGTTCAAATATGTTTACTTAGTTCAAATATCTGTCACTGTCATCCTGTTGTTCATTGATTACCTCGAGCAGGCCCTAGTAACATTTCCTTCGTCCTAGCCCTGAGATTTTTTAAAAAAGTGCCACATTTGGGGCTCTTTCAGGGTCAGGAGAATGAGACCCATCATTGTTACTGGTTTTTGGCATATTAAATATGCCACGGGGAGTTTGCCAGACTCTGCCTTGTGGGCAGGATACTTTTGGTAGCCTGCCAGGTTCTCCAGAGTAAGAACTAGGTAATAAGATGTCCGGGAGCAAGGTTTTTAGTCTCTGGGTCTTGGCCGTTGATGGGATTATATGGCGCCGGGGGTAATTGGTGGGTGTAACGCCTACATACTGGAAGATGGGGGATCTGGGTGAAGGAAGCCCAGTCCTGATCTGAGCAGGCTTGGAGATCTAAGCCCCGGGTCCCGCACACCTGGGTTTCTCGGCTGGTTCCTTTATGTGTGAGGCTCGTCCGAATGTGTGGAGAGTGGTCTTAAGCATGGCTGTGTCTGGAACTGGAGGTCTTCAGCTGCTGGGGCTCTGCTTGGGGTGGGGAGGGAAACTCAACCCACTCTCCTCCAAGGGGCCCTGGTGAGGACAGCCAGGCACGGAGGCAGGAGACTCTGTTCTGTTCTCTTCCAAGAGCAGGGTTTTTAGTCTCTGGGTCTTGGCTGTTGATGGGATTACACGGCGCCGGGGGCAGTTGGTGGGTGTAACACCTACATACTGGAGGATGTGGATCTGGGTGGAGGAGGCCCCAGTCCTAATAGGATCTGTTATTTGTCAGAAATTGTGCTGACAAATATGTCTGAAAGCCATCTTTGATAGATGATAAAAGTTCATGGTTAGGCTGACAGCCAAAAATAAGCTTGCAAATTAATTTTTAAGAATGCTGTCCAAAGAAGACCTCTATACCATAGTATTATAACTGTTGAGATGCACCCCATTTCTTCTAGCTCAAAACTTGAGATCAGTTGACTCCTCTTGTACTTTTCCTGACTTCATTAAATTCTATCAAACTCAGTGTTAGTGAGTTCTAACATCCTACATTTTCAGTGTACATACCTCCCACCACCCTTAAGAACATTCACCTGTCTACCCCTTATTTAACACTGTAAAGACCCTAACTTTAGCTACTATCTCTCTTGAGTGCACTATTATGATTACTTTTCTTCCCCCTTGGTATTTGGGCAAAGAAATCACTCCTGGCAGTGCTGCAGGACTATATGTGATACCAGGCAGTGAATCTGGGTTGCTGCATGCAAGACAAGCGCTTTACCTGTTGTACTATCTCTCTGGCCCTGTGATTACTTTTTAATCATCTTACTGCATTCACTTTTGACCACCATTTGGCAATTTGTTACATGACTGCAAACATGAGCAGTTTGCAGTATTCCTTATTTTCTTTGTATCTCTTTCCTTATCTATAAATTTTGGGTAATAATAATTCTTCTCTCACAGCTGTTGTGAGGAAAAAAATGTTTATAAAATACTTAGAATAGTCCTGGGCACCAAGGCCTCAACATTTTTTGAGACCTTGTACAATGTTACTTTAAGTCACCTAGAGAAAGGATTGAGGAAGGAAAGATGTTTTTTCCCTAAAAAATTACAGTTGAGTAATTTTTAGTTTCTTTATGCTTAATTTTTTACCTATGTTCATACCAAAAATCCACAGCTCTTACAATTTGTGATCTTATTGTATGTTTTTATTTTTTATTAATTAAAAGGCTAAGAAGCACCAAGCCTTTCTAGTGGAGACATGTGAAAATAACGTCAAAGAATTGGAATCGATCTTGGACAGCTTTACTGCGTCGGGCCAGTGGACATCAGGTTAGTTGGAGGTGTAAAATGACAGATGCATCTGTCAATGTTCCAAAGTCACTACATTTTGGGAATTCTGCAGATGCCTCTTCTAGTCCCTCATCTCAACATGTTTTGATTTGATGACATGATAAGAGCAGTTTTCACAGCAGTCAGTTGGCCTAGCTGGCTGGGGAAGGGTGATGGAACGTGGACCTGCTGTTGTCCTCCCAGAACTTGATTTACAAGTGTTGGGGTCTGTGTGATTGGACAGACAAGGGCTCGCTTGCTGTGTTCTGAATCCAACTGAGAAAAAAGTCCTTACAGTATACCTGCGAGGGGAACAGATGTTTCCATCAAACTGAGCCAAATTCTGAGGCAACCTTCACCAACTTAAAGGTCATGCATTCAAAAGGTTATGTAGGACACAGACTGCAACATAGTATGGATTCTAGGCTGTTGATTTCTAAGCTATTTTTTTCCTTTATTTCCTACTACCATATAATACACATATATATTGTTTTGGTAGGTGCTATCTGTATATTATATAGTAGGTAATATATATGTATATGCATATATAAACGTTTTTTGGTTTTAGTATGATAAACAGCTATAAAAATTGTGTATTAGGCAGAACAGTTTTGGGAACTGTTAAAAGCATTAGTTGGGTAATGATTACTTTACATGATTTATACTTTCTTAATTTTTTTGTCATTATACTATCATGCATGCTATGTAGTAGCTTTGACTTAAATATTTATGCTTTTCTGCCATTTCCCGCCCTCTCAATACTGTTATCCTTGGATTACTTAGTGTTTTCTGACTCAACTATTTTTTCTAAAAGATATACAGAATAAAATTCCTTACAGGTTAAGTTGAGCTTTGGAACATTATTATTTTTATTTTTTGGTTTTGAGCCATAATCTGCTGTCTTCCGGACTTTGCTCTGGCTCTGTGTTCAGGGGTCACTGCTGGTGGTGCTCAGGTTATCATATGAGGTACCAGATCAAATCCAGGTCAGTTGCGTGTAAGGCAAGCACCTCACCTGGCATTTTTTTTGCTTTACTAGGAAGTATATACATAATAAAACTTATTGCTCAATATTTTATGGAAATACCTAAAAATTTGAAATTTCGTACTCTATCAACTGCACAACGACAAAACTTTCTTTGTTCCTCTGAGATGAAGTAGTAAAACACTGTCTCTGATGATAATGCAATGATGTATGTATGTGCATGTCTGTCTAATAAATATATGTGTATGTATAAGCATAAATATAGTTCATAGTACACATGTCTTAGAGAAAAATCTATTTTCAATAGGGGCAAAGTTTTACTATGTGAGTAATGTGCAGACTTAGCATTTGTCACAGAATTAATGCAGTTATTGTGCGAATGATCATCAAGGGAGATTCTGTCTTGCAGTATGACAAATAGACAATATTGATTTACCCCCTTTTATGATCTCTTTTTACCTTAAGTTGTATATAATTCAGTAACTACCCCTATCTGAATTAACTTTAGAGTGATGGTGATGGATTTTTTAAAATTTTTTATTTATTTATTTATTTATTGAATCGCTGTGGGAAAAGTTACAAAGCTTTCAGGTTTAGGTCTCGGTCATGCAAATATCAATCACATTTCCCTTTACCAGTACTTATTTTTCACCACGAAGGACCCCAATAAACCCCCACCCCACCCCCAATGCCTGTGGGTCAGATGAATTCTAGTTAACACTCTATCTATTTTGACTAGCTTCATTGTTTCGATAAAAGTTGCACCATTATTATTTAGACTTTACTGCCCCCCCCAAATCAGCCATGCTGAAAAAGCATTGTGAAATGATTTGCTTTCTATAGCTGGGTTCAAGAATTAAATGATTTTGAATTTCTGCTATTTTATTTATTAACCCTGGAAGTATTTCTACTGAGAGTCAGATAGTTAAGAGATTGGTCTCTGTGCTTCTGGGGCCGTGGCCGTGCTGGAGAGCCGCTCATGGGGGGCAACTGGTGACCTCGGTAGGGCGTGAAGGACGGGCCGGAACGTCCCCCCCCCCCCCCCCCCCCGTCCCATGAGGTTTCAGTCACACCCCCACCCCCGGCTCAGAACTGCTCTCCACCAGGCTCCCATGCGGCCGCCATCTTTCTTTCCAGAGAGGAGAGGGAGGATGAATTTTTTTTCATTTGCACTTTTAAACTGGAATGACTCAAAACTGTTTTCTTGAATAAGTTTTAATAGTTCGAAGTTCATAGTTATTACTAGGTATTTTTTTCTTCTTTTCTTCTTCAGGATTTTCAGTTTTGTACAGTACCAGATTGTCCCCACAAGTTCTATCTTAATATGCAGGATAGTGCGAAGTCTGGGGCTGGCGTGTTAGCACGGCGGGTAGGGTGTTTGCCTTACTCGTGGCCAACCTGGGTTCAATTTCTCCTTCCCTCTAGGAGAGCCCTGGAAAGCTACTGAGATTATCCTGCCCACACGGCAGAGCCTGGCAAGCTACCTTTGGCATATTCGATGTGCCAAAAACAGTAACAAATCTCACAATGGAGATGTTACTGGTGCCTGCTTGAGCAAATCGATGAATAACGGGATGACAGTGCTATAATGCTACAGTGTGAAGTCTGAGTTAAACATGTTAAGGAATTTACGTAAAGGACTCAATTTCTTACTCAAGTGGGTCAGTGTGATAGTCTGCACTTTGTTTTCTGTTGCTCCAACCTCCTTAGAACTGGTCAGTCTGCTTCTACCTTGCTAACATGCAGTCTTGTTTCTCTGTAGCCATCACAATGATCATCTGAAAACTTAAGACATATTATTCCTTTGTTGTAAGCCTTATTGATTCCAATCTGCATTTCACTTAAAATTAACAATGACTTGAAAGACCCTATGTGATCTACCCTTATCCTCTGTCACTCTTCATTTTATTAAACTGTGTGTGTATGTGTGTATGTGTGTGTGTTTGGACTACACCTCTTGTGCTCAGAGCTTACTCCTAGCTCTCTGCTCAGGGATCACCCTTGGTGGGCTCTGGGGAACATATAGGGTGTTGGGGATAGAGCCCAGTGTACGAGCAAGTGCCCTGCCCTTTGGACTATCACTGGTCGCTCTCTGTCACTCTTCAATCTCATGACGTACCCCTTTTACTTTTGTTCCCCTCTCCTTCCCTTTGTTGTTGTTAACTGTTGTGGTGGCCCAGGGTTGCATACACGCATGGCTTGTGGGATTGAGTGTGTAAGTTGTGTTTCTCACTAAGGGTCAAATCAGATGGAGGTGTTTACTTGTTTACTCACCTTCAAATGCGGGGGTTCACCTATTTATTTGTTGTTCTGTATGTGTGCTTGCACGGAGTCACATTTCATGGTCATGAGGCTCACACTTTTTTTTTAAGTTGTGTTGCTTGTTGGGGTACTGAACACTTTTTAGTTGCCATGCCATGCACATCTGGCTGCAGTGTGATTGGAAATTGTTTGCAGTGCTGGGGATCACAGATTGTAGAACTGCAAGGAACGAAGAGCAGAAATCAGTGCATCAGATCGGGGAATGAACTATGGCTTTACACTTGCAAGGCAATCCCTTTTGACCAGGCGCCTCTTTCCTGGAAACCCTGAATTTCCTATTGCATGCCATTCTTCCTACTGTCTATTTAGCATAGCAGGGATGCTTTTGCCTTGAGGACCTTTGTGCTGGTCGTTCTTTCTACTGCACAAGTTCTTGAGTTATATTAATCAGTATAACCAGTTAACAGTGTAACTCTTGCCTCTATGGTAAGAAGTTCTTACCATAGCTTCTTAAAATTTTCTTTGTATATACGCTCTTACTATCTCCTAAAGCTCATTCACTACGTATTCCCATGCCATGTACCTCATTCCTTCACTCCTTACTCTATTGTATCTCTCTCCTCCTTCCATAGTACTTATGTTCCTTATGTTGTTTAATAATGTATTGTGTAAAACACATTGTTTTAGCTATCTTACTCAGGGATTTGTAGAGAAACAACTGACAAGCTATATATTAGAGGAATTTTGTCATAGGAATTGGTATAGTTATGGATATTTAGAAATGCTCTGAACTGTCTTCTGTAAATTGAAGAATAAAAGAAGGGTTATATGACTTAATCTGCATCTGAAGACCTAAAGAACCTGGTTCTGATTTAAATTCTAGAGTCCAAAGACTCAAGGACCATAAACTTCATTGTGTGAGGGCAGAAGATGCAAATTTCATTTCAAGAAGAGAGAATATGTTTTTCTTCCACATTTTTGTTCTTGTAGAGGTGGATGGGAAGTGCTGTCAGCTTGAGTCTAGGGAGAGCCAATGAGTTGGAAGTAATGCTAGCCCACTCTGGTGAGAGCAGACCTTCTTTACTTCTATTGATTCAAACGCTAATCACTTACAGAAAGACCCTCCCACACATAACCCAAATAATATTTACCAGTTATCTGATTATTTCTTGCCCGATCAAGTGAACATGTAGAATTAACTATTACAAATATTCAAGCACCTGAGGCAAAGGCGATTTGTCTTGTTCACTAATTAATGTATTTTAGCAGCTAGAGGCAACAGTTGGCATAAGGCATGTGTTCAATAAATATTTGTTGAATATGAATGAATAAAATGACTGCTGAATTTATATTAGGGCAAAGAACAATTTTTAAAGTTTAGTGTTTGAGATAATAAAGTTGGGCAAGAAGGTTTTTCCTAAAGTACAGCAGTCCTATGGGTAGCAGACTACAAGGAGTCACCAGAGAGACTGACCTGCATTGGAAAAGGTATGCAATCTTCAGGGCTTAGAAATGTCACTTTGATTACCTACTGTCATTAGACTAGATACCTTCAATTTATCCCATCAGGGCAGTTTTTTTCTACTTTCTGTTGGAATTGTAATTATTATTGTTTTTGTTATTATTTTCCTCTTCCACCTCCTTTTGGGGAAAAATTTTTTCCCATTTCAAATATATGTAGTCTGTCTGCCTCAAGTGTTCATTCTAGTACAATTTTACCTCTGCCTCAGGTTGTTAGCAAACAGATATAATG